GGCCCGACTGTGCCGCGGATCACGGTTTATGGCAACCCCGAGCTGAGAGCCCGCGCCTGGGCTCCGCCTCTACAGCCGGCTTCCCTGCTCCATTACCTGGGAGCTCTGCCACACTCAGGCACCCCCTTTCTTTCTGTGATCCTGAGGGTCCTGAGACCACACTGTCCTGCAAGGGTTCCACCCCCCGCTTAGCCACCGGAGTGATGTCCCTCCGCGGAGCCGACTTCTAAAAGTTCCGATTTTGTGCTCCGCGGTTCTATCACTTGCCAGAAGCGGCCGACAGAGGCCCCTCCCCTGCCGTCTATTCTCCCGAATATCGCCTCGGATTCACTTCTCCACACGTCCTACCTTCCAGAAAGTGGTCGCTTTTCTGATGAGAGAGTTGTTGCTCTTCTTTTCTTCGATCTCCTGTTGAGTTTGTAGGTGTTCAGAATGGTTCGATCCCTATCCAGCTGAATTCGGGAGAGGAGACGAAATCCAGGTCTCCTACTCCTCCGCCATCTTGCTCCGCCCCCTATTCCTTATCTTTTAATAGCTTCTTGTCTTAGCCCCGTTTTGCTGTTCCTAGGACCCTTGAAAACAGACTCCCCACTTCCTGGAGTGTTAAATAAAGTTTGTTTGCATCAACTAAATTGTCTTCATCATTCTTGTAACAGTTTTTGGTGATAAAGAATGAGATCTGAAGCTGACTGCTAGCAGGCTCTGGGACAAGGAGACACATAAGCGAGGCACCTGCTAAAACCCTCGAGATCAGCGTTCCTTGTCCTTACCAGAGGCCATGGGTAAGTCACTCTCAGATTTGAGCTCTGCTCCCATGGGTGCAGCTCTCTGATCCAAACTGACTTTATTTAAAATATACTTGTATATACATATGATAATATATATGTATAACAATATGAACGATATATAACCATATGTGTGTGTGTGTGTGTGTGTGTGTGTATATTTCCCAGAAAGGTTCTGGGACCCCTTTCTGGGGTTTGTTAAAGTTTCTATGATGGTTCTGGCTCCTGAAAGGTTCTGGAATTTGTTAAATTTCCCAGAAACTTTCTTGAGACTCCAGAAAGGTTCTGGGGTTTATTCAAATACCCAGAAAAGGAGTGCCTGGATGGCTCAGTCAGTTAAGTTAAGCGTCTGCCTTCAGCTCAGGTCATGATCTCAGGGTCCTGGAATTGAGTCCCACATCAGACTCCCTGCTTAGTGGGGAGTCTGTTCTCCCTCTGCCCCTTCCCCTGCTCATGCACGCTCTCTCTCTCTCAAATAAATAAGTAAAATCTTAAAAAGAAAAAAATCCCCAGAAAATTCTGGGGTCCTAAAAAGGCTCTGGAGTAGTTATGTTAGGGTCCACAGCAGGTGGCAGCCTTTAAAGGACTAAAAAAACAGGTATTGCAATTCTGTAATGGGGGGACTTGCTGAGCCTCAACTTGGGGACTTGGAGAAATAATTAAGATGAGAAATTGGACTGTTTTGACCATCAAATCTAAATCTAAATTAGACTGTTAAAAGCCATCAGAAATCTTCTCATGAAGGAATCATAGGCTCTGTTACTAATAGGAATCTCAGGAGCCAAAACAACTTTCCTGAAAGATGCATTGCAAAAGCTTAATGAAAAATTAAGTAGGAGGTACCTCAAACAAAGGACTGATGTGGCTCCTACTATTCCCCTTTACCTTCCTTTACCAGAGTACTCAGTCCACTCTAAAAAGACTATAAACTGTAAACAAAAGTCTGTCAGCTTAGTGTTCTTACAACTGCAACAGCGCCAGACCCAGAAACCTAAGACACCTGGGCCTCTTGCACTGTACCCTCCTGGGGGTCCATAGTTAACACACTAGTCCAGAAACTGGTGTCTCATTTGCAGTCAGCTGGGACACTGGAGGAAAGATTGTCTTCAAAGGTTTTGTCAAATCCTTCCACACCAACTCAGATGATCCCATATGTACCCTGGAAGGTGGGCACTACATAGGTGCTTCTCAGCATTGGCAAGACTCTGAGGGATTCTCCGGTAAATTACTACCAAATATCCCCTTTAACAGCCCAGCAGAAACTGAAATTAACAATAATGGAAGATTATTGCCAAATTCTGGTAGATATACCAGAAACCCCACTTGCTTGGGAGTCTAAAGATGGGATCCTGGGAAAACTGGCAGAAGCAGCAAAGGTTGAGCGTTCTTACCAGAGTCAGCTGTCTCGCATCTCTGCGTCAAGAGAGGAAGATGACATTTCACGTTGTTGCTTCCTTTCCAAATCCAGACTCTTGTTAAGTTGGTTTTGGGATACCCATTGGTTGTCGGTCATTTTCTCCCAGGGACAGTGATTTTCTTCTTTCTTTTTTTTAATTTAAATTCAATTAACCAACGTATAGTACATCATTAGTTTTTGATGTAGTGTTCAATGATTCATTAGTTGCGTATAACACCCAGTGCTCATCACATTCTTTCTTGTCTCGTTTTGTGCTCTGAGAACTTGGCTTGGCTTTCTGCCTCCCTGGGGCACCCAGGTTATCTGTTCTTATATATGTAGGCAGTTCAGTGTGAGGTTGGGGACCCCAAATATGATCGGACAGAAATGTACATTGCACTCCATTTGTGGCTAGGTGTGGCTGCACAGAAATGTGGGTTGCACCCCCATTTGTAGCTAAGATTCTGCTGACTGTTGTCAGCTCTCAGGAGGTTGTCTAGGTCTTTCTTTCTTTCTTTGGCTGTCTTTGAAAGGGGCTCTGGATATGGAGAGGAAAATATATTTTGAATCCTCTTTGGGGATGCCTCTTTCATCAATGGGGTTATTCAGTCCTTCTGGGAATGTTTACTGTTTGTTATGGCTAAAACCTGACAAGATATTTGAAAAGATTTTTTAAGTACCTCTAGAGCCAGAAGTTGGACAAATTTGAAGCTGATAGTCAGAGCCTGATGGGAATTTTTTTTTAGGGCCTTCTCCCCTAAGCTAAAATGAAACTATATATCCAGAGGGAAAGAGAAACATTCCAAAGACAAACAGCTTTAAATTTAGAACACAACAATCTTTTGGTTTCCATCTAGTTGAAGATCTCCCTGATATAAAAAAGCAAATTGAAGATAATGTAGTTGGATGGGTGGGTCAGCTCCTGATATCACTCATGTTGCAACCAGATTCTTTTAGGAATTAAAAACAACTGAATGGGTAAAGAATATATATATATATATATATATATATATATACACACATACACACACATATGCATATATATGCAACAGAATATTACTCTGCCATAACAAAGAATGCAGTTTTGGCATTTACAACAACATGGATGGACCTAGAGGGTATAATGCTAAGTGAAGTAAGTCAGGCAAAGAAAGACAAATACAATATGATTTCACTCATATGTGGAATTTAAGAAACAAAACAAATGAACAAACAAAGAAAAAAAAGGACAAAAAGGCGACTCTTAAATACAGAGAACAAGCTGTTGGGTGGGGGTGTGGGTGACATAGATTAAAGGGATTAAGAATATACTTATCATGATGAGCAGTGAGGAACCTCCAGAGTTGTTGAATCAGTATATTGTACACCTGAATGTAACATAACACTGTATGTTAATTAGATTTCAATAAAACAAACAACTGTCCTACAAAGTAGTTAGAATTTCTTACATAGATCTGTCTGTCTTCAAGCCATGCCATGTTACCTCACCTGGGGTTCCTTATTTCCATAACATTTGGAAAAAGAAGGTTTTCTATTGAAATGTTCTTGAATGAAGCAGTATATCAACAGAATGCTAAGTCTTGCTAACAAGGTTTACATTATTGTGCCTTTTCCACTTATGAGTGTAAAAATCAAAAGACAAAACATCCAACTGCAGGAGGCCTATCTTTGTTCTTGCAGTGGGGGCTGGGGGAGCAAAAACTGTAGATCCAGATCTAGTTTATTGTTTTCTTCAAGCATTAGTATTCATCCTTTACTGCCAGGAATGCTTGTGAAGCTCTGTCACTCTAATTTAAAATGCTTTTGAGGAGGGCTCCGCACTGTCTGCTCTGAAATGGGACCTTGCTATTCTTATTTGTAAACTGTCAGCGTGAGGCAGGAACTAGCCATCAGGAAGATTTGCTTTCACAAAAATATAAAGTGATTGGAAAACCCCAAACATCTACAAGCCTAACTTCTTTCATGCCTTATAGTTTCTTTTTCTTGTGCCTTATGAAAAGAGCAGAGCATCCACTGGGGGTTTTCATTCATTGTTTTGTTGACTTTTAATTCACAGAGGATTTATGCCATGGCTACGTTTGCAGAACTGGTTCATGAATATAAGTTATAAGAGAACCAAATAGCATTACAAAAAGTTTTTTTTTTCTTCACTCTTAAAACTTTCCATGATATTCAAAGTGAGAGCCTTCTGGATTTTTTTCCCCATTTCAATACACTAGAGAGCCAGAAGATGGAATCAATGTTATATTAAACAAGGATTGAATAAAGGATCCCTGTCTTACTAATTATTTGGTGTCTCCATTTCATGTGTGGTCTCCTCAGTATTTACAAATGCAAGATAACTTTTCCCAGTCATTTATGCTGCTCTCCCAAAAGCCCTCATTTGGAGACACTGCGTCCTCAGAGTGGGGAGAAAACACTGAGCAGTGAGTTTTAGAAATGAAAACTGGGCAGCTCAATCTTGGTAATTATAGGGCATCACTGAAACTCGGATCCACCAAGGCTTACGTATTTTTTTTAAGGCTTATCTTGACTCATGTCAAATTTCTATTAGGCCAGATGTGTCTTGTTTGTGGGGACCCACACGTTTCAGGGAGTGCAGCCTTTGAATTGGCTCTGTGCCACCTGCTCACACCTATCTCTGTCAGTCTTCCACAAAGGCAGGGAGAAACTGGGGAGCTCAGAAAGATGGGTATTTACCGTTCTTTCCATATTGGAATTGCGTTCCAACAGCCCCCTGGCAAATCACCAACCTTTAATGGAATTTCAGTCGGCCATGAGAATTGCTGTTTCCCAGACTAAAAGATGCACAATTACCTGTTGTCTGTGAAACCTTTACAGTTTTCCCATCATCTTCCATGTCCTTTTCTGCTGTAATATGGTATATATTCTTCTTGTAGATCAACTGTCCATTGGTCTAAATTAGTTGATTTCTCAGTGTATTTACCAGTGTGACTTCTTAGAGACCAGGAATTCTGTTTCTTATCTAATATAATAGCTGGCAAATGTAGTTATTCAAGAAGTATTTGTTTTTTTTAATAAATGAATGACTAAATAAATGAATAGAAACAGTGCTTCATTTACTGTTTCAGTATACCACTTACTTATAGAGATAGGCACTAAAAGTCATTAAAAAATAGAGCATCATTCTTTAAGAAGTTAAAGTACCCAAGTTGAGAAAAAAAGAATAGTTCCTTGACAGATTTTTAAAAAGGAAACAGAGAAATGTCTTAGTCAAGAAAAAAGGTGATTGATATATTCTGAGTTTTGCAGAATTATTTTCATTTAATTCACTTTATATATATTTTCTTTTTTTTTTTTAAGATTTTATTTATTTATTTGACAGAGAGAGACACAGCGAGAGCAAGAACACAAGCAGGGGGAATGGGAGAGGGAGAAGCAGGCTTCTTGCCGAGCAGGGAGCCTGATGTGGAACTCGATCCCAGGACCCTGGGATCATGACCTGAGCCGAAGGCAGATGCTTAACGACTGAGCCACCCAGGCGCCCTGTATATATTTTCTTTTTTTTTTTTTTTTTAAAGATTTATTTATTTATTTGAGAGAGCGAGAATGAGAGAGAGAGTACATGAGAGGGGGGAGG